GGGGTCAGGTTTGGGGTCGGGTTTGGGGTCTTGTTTGGGGTCAGGTTTGGGGTCAGGTTTGGGGTTGGGTTTGGGGTCAGTGGGGTTGGGTTTGGGATTGCATTTGGGATTGGGATCGTTGGGATCAGTGGGATCAAATTTGGGGTCAGTGGGGTCGGGTCAGGATTTGGGATTGGGACCTGGGATTTAGGATCAGGATTTAGGACTGACCGGCTCTGGGAAACCTCCAGTGACAGCTCAGGGAAGGATTTGGGGTGGGATTTGGGATTTGGGACGGGATTGGGATGGGATTTCAGATTCAGGATGGATTCAGGATGGGATTTTGGGATTTAGGATGAGTTTAGGATGGATTTAGGATCAGATTTAAGACCGACCTGCTCGGGGAAGCCCCCGATGACAGCGAGCTGCGCCCCTCGCTCCCGGCTCAGGGACGGATTTGGGATTTGGGACGGGATTGGGATGGGATTTCGGATTCAGGATGGAATTTAGGATGGATTTTGAGATTTAGGATCAGGATTTAGGCTCAGGATTAGGACCGACCTGCTCGGGCAACCCTCCAATGACGGCGAGCTGAGCTCCTCTCTCCCGGCTCAGGGATGGATTTGGGGTGGGATTTGGGATTGGGATGGGATTTGGGATTCGGGATGGATTTAGGATTAGGATTTGGGGTTTAGGATGAGTTTAGGCTCAGATTTAGTCCCCACCTGCTCTGGGAACCCTCCAATGACGGCGAGTTGAGCTCCTCTTTCCCGGCTCAGGGAAGGATTTGGGACGGGATTGGGATGGGATTTGGGATGGGATCAGGATTTTGGGATTTAGGATCAGTATTTAGGCTCAGGATTTAGGACCGACCTGCTCCAGGAACGTCTCAGGGAAGGATTCGGGATGGGATTTGGGAAGCGATTTTGATGCGATTTGGGATGGGATCAGGATTTGGGATTCAGGATGGGATTTTGGGATTTAGGATGAGTTTAGGATGAGTTTAAGATGAGTTTAGGATCAGATTTAGGACCGACCTGCTCGGGGAACCCCCTGATGACGTCTCAGGGAAGGATTCGGGATTTAGGATAGGATTGGGATGGGATTTCGGATTCAGGATGGGATTCAGGATGGATTTTGGGGTTTAGGATGAGTTTAGGCTCAGATTTAGGACCGACCTGCTCCGGGAACCCTCCAATGACCGCGAGTTGTGCCCCTCTCTCCCGGCTCAGGGAAGGATTTGGGGTTTGGGATGGGATTTGGGGATTTAGGATGAGTTTAGGATGGATTTAGGATGAGTTTAGGATGGATTTAGGATGAGTTTAGGATGGATTTAGGATCAGGATGGGATTTAGGATGGATTTAAGATGAATTTAGGATGGATTTAGGACCCTCCTGCTCCGGGAATTCACTGATGATGGCTCAGGGAAGGATTTGGGATGGGATTGGGATGGGATTTCGGATTCAGGATGGATTTAGGATTAGGATTTGGGATTTAGGATGAGTTTAGGACGGATTTAGGCTCAGGATTAGCACCGACCTGCTCCGGGAACCCTCCAATGACGGCGAGCTGAGCTCCTCTCTCCCGGCTCAGGGACGGATTTGGGGTGGGATTTGGGATTGGGATGGGATTTGGGATTCAGGATGGGATTCAGGAAGGGATTTGGGATTTAGGACGAATTTAGGCTCAGGATTAGGACCGACCTGCTCGGGGAACCCTCCAATGACGGCGAGTTGAGCTCCTCGCTCCCGGCTCAGGGAAGGATTTGGGATTTAGGATGGGATTGGGATGGGATTGGGATGGGATTTTGGGATTTAGGATGGGTTTAGGATGGATTTAGGCTCAGATTTAGTCCCCACCTGCTCCGGGAACCCTCCGATGACGGCTCAGGGAAGGATTTGGGGTGGGATTTTAATGTGATTTGGGATAGGATCAGGATTTGGGATTCGGGATGGGATTCAGGATGGATTTTGGGATTTAGAATGAGTTTAGGATGGATTTAGGCTCAGTATTTAGGACCGACCTGCTCGGGGAACCCTCCGATGACAGCTCAGGGAAAGATTTGGGGTGGGATTTGGGATTGGGATGGGATTTCGGATTCAGGATGGGATTCAGGATGGATTTTGGGATTTAGGATGAGTTTAGGCTCAGATTTAGTCCCGACCTGCTCGGGGAACCCTCCAATGACCGCAAGTTGAGCTCCTCTCTCCTGGCTCAGGGACGGATTTGGGGTGGGATTTGGGATTGGGATGGGATTTGGGATTCGGGATGGATTTAGGATTAGGATTTGGGATTTAGGATCAGGATTTAGGCTCAGATTTAGGACCGACCTGCTCCGGGAACCCTCCAATGACGGCTCAGGGATGGATTTGGGGTAGGATTTGGGATTCAGGATGGATTTAGGATGGATTTCGGATTCAGGATGGATTTAGGATTAGGATTTGGGATTTAGGATGAGTTTAGGACGGATTTAGGCTCAGATTTAGGACCGACCTGCTCCGGGAACCCTCCAATGACGGCTCAGGGATGGATTTGGGGTTTGGGACGGGATTGGGATGGGATTTCGGATTCAGGATGGATTTAGGATTAGGATTTGGGGTGGGATTTGGGATTTAGGATGGATTTAGGATTGGGATTGGGATTTGGGATTTAGGATCAGGATTTAGGCTCAGGATTAGGACTGACCTGCTCCGGGAACCCTCCGATGATGGCTCAGGGAAGGATTTGGGATGAGATTTGGGAAGGGATTTTGATGCGATTTGGGATGGGATCAGGATTTTGGGATTCAGGATGGGATTTTGCGATTTAGGATCAATATTTAGGCTCAGATTTAGTCCCCACCTGCTCCGGGAACCCTCCAATGACGGCGAGTTGAGCTCCTCTCTCCCGGCAGCGCTCCCGCGCGCGCTCCCAGCTCGTCCGCGCCAAGGAGAAATAATAACAATTCCCGGAGAAATATTCCCAATCCCGGGAATCTGCGCCGCACGGGAACACTGCGGGAACGGCCCCAAAAATGGATTTATCCCAAAATTTGGGGCTTTTTGGGGTTTTTTCATAAAAAAACACACAAAAAAATATGAAACCTCAAAGAATTTGGGGCTTTTTGGGGTTTTCCTACAAAAAAAACCATAAAAAACCTACAGAAAATTCACAAAAAACCCCAAAAAAATCAACAAAAAAAAAATCAACAAAAAACACAAAAAAACCCCACAAAAAAAACCAGAAAAAAACCCACAAAAAATCCACAAAAACCCCACAAAATTTGGGGTATTTTGGAGTTTTTCCCGGAAAAAAATCATCCGAATTTGGGGGTTTTGGGAGCGTCATCCCAAAGAATTCAGCAAATTTTGGGATTTGGGGGATTTTTCACCCCAAATAAACCCCAAATTTGGATTTTTTCCTGCCCCATGACCCCAAATTTTGGGATTTGGGGGATTTTTCATCCCACAATTTTGGGATTTGGGGGATTTTTCATCCCACAATTTTGGGATTTGGGGGATTTTTCATCCCACAATTTTGGGATTTGGGGGATTTTTCACCCCTAAATTTTGGGATTTGGGATTTTTCTCCCAAAAAATCCCCGAAATTTGGATTCTCCCCCCTCCAAAAACACCCAAAATTTTGGGAATTTCTCCCCAAAAATCCCCCAAATATTGGGATCAATTTTGAAGAATTTTTTGGGAATTTGGGACAGAAAATTTGGGACTTACGGAACGAATCCCAATCGGAAAAATTCCGCTCCAGGTGCTCCCGGCTGAGCTTGGAAGAAACGGAGGAAACTGAGGAAGAAAAATGGGAAAAAATGGGAAAAAAATGGAAAAAATTAAAAAAAAAAATTGGGAATTTTGGGGTTTAGGAGAGATTGGGATGAGGGAGGGTTAATTTGGGATTTGGGATTTGGGATGAGGGGATTTGGGGGAATTTTGGGGCTTTTGGAGGGAATTTTGGGGATTTTGGGAGCAGATTTTGGGAATTTTTGGGAGGGGATTTTGGGGAATTTTGGGGATTTTGGGGGAATTTGGTGAATTTTGGGTGAATTTTGGGTGAATTTTGGTGATTTTGGGAGTGAATTTTGTGAATTTTTGGGAGGGGATTTTGGTGATTTTGGGGGAATTTTGGAGTTTTTGGGAGGGGGTTTTGTCAATTTTGGGAGGGGATTTTGGGAATTTTGTGGATTTTGGGAGGGGATTTTGGGGATTTTGGGAGGGAATTTTGGGCAATTTTGGGGATTTTGGGAGGGAATTTTGGTGAATTTTGGGGATTTTGGAGAGAATTTTGGTGAATTTTGGGTGAATTTTGGGTGAATTTTGGTGATTTTTGGAAGCGAATTTTGTGAATTTTTGGGAGGGGATTTTGGTGATTTTGGGGGAATTTTGGACATTTTGGGAGGGGATTTTGGGAATTTTGGGGATTTTGGG